TAATATTATATATATTTATAAAATTAATTTAAAAAAAAAAATTTTTAAAAATTTTAATTTTTCATAAAAGTAAATCAAAAGAGAATTTATAGTAAATAAGCAGGCAAATTTGCCTGCGAATCTCTACAGTTTAAGGGATAATATAATATAAATTAATTAAATTAAAATAAACTTATTACTAGGACATAATTTTAAGAAATTCTTTTTGATAGGCAATGACATCATCTCTTTCATGATTATTAATATACATTCCTTTTGTACAAAGGGTGAATAAAAGTATCTGCATACTTTTTTACTTAATATAAAACTTAAAATATTTTTATAATAACAATAAAAAATCAATTAATTTTTTATTTAAAGCCGATTAATATCTACATTTTGTACTAAGTAACTAGTATTTAGTTGGACCACCATTTACCGCAATCACCGCTTGAATTTGTTGTGACATACTATCAACTAAGTTTTCAATAGTGTGCTTCAGAATTTCTTGCTATATCTTTTAATATATCAGTCAAGATCAGCAAGATTAAATAGAGGTTTTTTATAAGCTCAGATGCTTTTCTTAACTTCAACCTAAAGATTTTCAATTGGATTAAGATCAGGACTTTAAGTTGGCCAAAATAATGTACAAAGATTTTCGCTTGAAAAATTATTGCAGTTAATTCTTTGATTTTTACCATTTTTTTTTAGATTTTCAGAGAAGAAAAATTTATTAAAAAATAAACAAATTTGTTATTCTTTTATTTTTATAATTTTTATAATATAAGTAAACACTTAAGTGTCATATAAATGCAATTTATTATTATGATCATATGACTTTACTAACATTAATTCACATTTATGGAGGTGTGCAGATACTTTTGTCTATCTTTTATATATTAACTAAAAATAAATCCCATTTTTTTTAACTACTGAATTGCTATAGATTTACTATAAAATGTAAAAATCATTAGTAATATATTTATAAAATAAAGTAATCTATAAAATACAAATATAATAAAACAAATATCTGATTTTAGTTTTTTTTTATGCCAACAGAAGGTAAAATTTCATTGGAAATATAATTGCAAAAGTTATAAACAATTATATCAAATTTGTGTTGTTATAAATATAATGCAACTTTTATTTGAATATCCTTATCATCAAGAATACTGGTTTCTCTAAGATGTTTTTCACGATTACTATCAGGAACATCACCATATTCAATAAATACTTTAGTTCAACTTTTAACATAACGAACAAACCATATTTCTCGATTTAGAAGATCTGCAATAGTCTGACTTACTTCTAATTTTGCATGTTCTTTATTAAGAAGTTGTAAATAATATTGAACAGCTTTAAGTCGCAGTTTATATTCTGAAGTTAAATGTTTATCTTTAAGTTTTAGTTTATCTTTAATTATATTAACTAATGCATTCAATTATACATTTTTAGCATCATCAGAATCAACATTAGAATCATTAATATCAGAACCATTTCCATCAGAAGAACCATCACCAAAATTATCAGCATTAAAACCATTTTCACCACTAGAAGAACCACCACCAAAATTACTATTAGAACCACTAGTATTATTTTGATTATTTAATAGTTAATAAAGAATTTGCCTTTTTTTTTCGATTTTCTGATGCTTTAATTTTTTTCAATATTTTGTTATTTGTGAGTTTCTTACATTACTAACGGACATTTGAAAAATTTTAATTCTTTCATATTTTTAGTTAAAACTAAAAAAAGCTGCTCTGCCTTATTCTCATCAACCTATCTAATTTCTTCATCCTCTGCCTTATCTCCAACTTCTTTATCCTTCGCCTTATTCTTATCATCCTATCTAACTTCTTCATCTATGCTATATTCAATTTTCGCAATTTGAAGTTTTCTTTTTTTTATTATCTCTCGGCAATGTTGAATTTGTCGTTTGGGGCGTCCTATAGTGAAAAAAATTGATCAGTCGATTAACACATGCATACAGTCTAAACTATTTATGGGGGACAGGGGCAGTTATCACTAAGGAGTAGTAGCCTCCCCAGTGCCTTCTTGCTATACTTCTTTATATTCTTTTTCTGTTTCTCGCATCTCTAGCTCATTATAATTACTAATTATATTTCTTACCTAGCTGGAGACTCCGCAATCTCAGAAATACTAATTATTAATCTTACTTAGCTAAATTCTTTGGAATTGTATAAATACTAATTTATGCACATAAAGCTCCGAATAGTTTCAGAAGGTCATCCTGGATATTACAAAAAATGTCACATATCAAATTCCTAATGAAATAATACTTGTAACCCTAAGAAAACCAATTTGCTTTCTTATTAGCATTCGTTCTGAAATTGTTTGTTTCCAAGTGGTTAAAAAAAAATCTACTTTGGCACGTTCCTATCTGAAACCCCTTTAGAATCCATCTTAGGTAACAAAATTACTCACATATATGATCGCTAAACATGAAAACAAATAGTATCCACACTCTGCGGAGCGAAGTGGAGCATGTACACAAGATATGAAACAAATAGTGTCCACACTCTGTGGAGCAAAGCGGAGCATGTACACAAGATATGAAAGCAAATAGTGTTCACACTCTGCGGAGCAAAGCGGAGCATGTATACAAGATATGAAAACAAATAGTGTCCACACTCTGCGAAGTGAAGCGGAGCATGTATACAAGATATGAAAACAAATAGTGTCTACACTCCCTTTTCTTCATATTGTTTAAAAAAAGATAAATAGGATACTTTGTTTTCTGGCTTCGAATTTATGAGAAGGCGGGTAGCCGGAGTGGTCAAGCAGTTTTCTTATCACAGATTAGCCAAATAGACCCACTCCTTCGGTCAAGACCTTCAGGAGAAAAAAAAATTGTCCTGAAATCTATGATTGAGGAACCAAGGTAGGAGGAGAATTAATTAATTGAATAAAATTTTTCTGAGGATATTATTACACCGCGGAAGATATTCTATATAAGATGTCATCTCGTCAAGCTAGCCAAGCAAATACTCGTAAAGAAATTCAAGCCAAACTTGCAGAGCTTAAAGGAGTAATGTTAGACGCGATACTATACCCACGTTCCAATAATTTGCTTGCTAAGTATCAAGAGGAAATCGCACTTCAGGTGGTAACTGAGGAAAAAAGGAATGGAACGCATGATATTTCGCAAAGCAAATCTATAAATGAATTGGCTGACTGGTTAGCAGATCCAGTAAAGGGTTCTAAGCCAAAAGAATCTGAAAATATAGATCCCGTTACATTCGATGAATGGGCAGACAAGCAAGAGTGGCTAGGAAAAGAAAATCCAGAACGGCATGAGGATGGATCGATTTGGTGGTTTTCAAGACGAATTCCAAAGTTAGCGCCCCAAAAGGTAAAAAACGAACATGGGTTTGGTTACTGGAAACTTCCTAAAGGGGCAGATAAACCACATATAACAAATAATTATGCTAAGAAAATTCGGGATCTTATGAATTATGAAGAAGAATATGTTATTGGGGTGGCTAATGATTGGGAAATGGGTAGAATAGAGGAGCGAATAGAATGGGATGAATCTAGTGGTAACTATCTAGGCATAAAGGAGGTATAGGTTCCAGGAGGAAAAGTAGAGTATCATATGGATCCTCATGGATAGCCATCATTGCATGCTCATTCTTATGGAAAAGCCAGTCTGGAAGAACTTCTATTAGTAGATAGGAGGGCGTGGTTATCCTGGAAAGATTCAGAGGCAATGTATCTTGATGAGTATCAAGACGAGCCATATAATCTTGAGCTAGAAGGCCAGCCCTATATATTACGTTTTCAGTTCATGGCATACCTGCGTCAAAAATTATATGGTTCAGGAATTAATGAAGATAGAACTGTATGGTAGTATAGTGATAGACTAGTCAACGTTAGCTATGAAATGGCATCAGAAGTTTGCCGTCTTCTTTATCATTCTACAGAATATACTCTTTTTACTAGACTCAACACATCTGAAGGTATGGTTGAAGAAATGGGAGATAAAGGATGACATTTCAGTAAGTAAAAGAAAGCCAGAAGACTTACAGGAGAAGAGATCACACCAGGATAATTAGAAGGAATAGATATATATTTAAGGGCAAAATCCTGAGAGTATGTTAACCATATTTGCTATGAACTTCGACCAGTTCCAAGACCACAAGGACCACCAGGACCATTTTATGATAGCAATTTGAATTGTATCATAGCAGAATTACAAAGACTATAGAGCATGGAGGAACAAAGCGGGCTATAGGGCTAATGCTAGCTCGTGAAAGTGCTCTTGCAAAATTTAATGAAAAAGTACGAGCATCCGGCTGTACTTTAGATGATTTGCATGACCTTGAAAAACTGGAAAAATCTGGAGGCATAGGGATGAAAATCATTATCAAAGATATTTTGGTTAACGAAATATGAAATAGTGGTAGGAATCTTAAACAATGTAAGCTAACAGTATTTTGCCATAATAATTATGCATGAATAGGAGGTATACCTGAAATATCTCGAGTATCTTCAGTCTATGATATGGACTATGAATGTGAAAGAACACTTGTTTCTGCATGCACGAAAACTAAGAAGGGGGAGGTTAATATCGACGAAAAAAAGATTGCTGAAGCTCTTATATCATTTGTCGCAAGAAACCTTCCAAGAGCTACAAGAATATGGATTGT